AACCCGACACCGTGGCCTCGTTTAAAGGGGGAGGGGCCACACACCAACTCTGGCGGTGGGGGGGGGATGACAATGGAGTCAATGTAACCACGCCAATCCGCTGTCGTCTGTCGCGCATTCATCTCGGGTCGGATATGAACGTTTGGAGCCACGTCGCCACCGAACACTGGACCAACACTTGTTCAGATTTGACTTTGAGAAGCCAACCGACCAAGTGACCGCGCGGGGCAGAGCGAGCGGCTCGCAAATCCGAAGGTTGCGAGTTCACATCCCGATTGGGAGGGGTTGACTCAGCCCATCATCCCTTCCTCCAGGGTCGATAACAAAATCAAATGCACCGTTTTGTGCGAAAATCAACAGCGGCTGTACTATGGGGGGGGGGGGGGGGGGGGGGGCGGGGGGGGGGGGTAGGAGACTCATCCCTGCCACGGGAACGCGTAATTCTCCGCACTGGCTCAGGCCTGCAAACAGGAGATGACCACCAATGCTCCAACGCCCATCTGGGAGCAGGATATCATTCTGTGGGGGGGGGGGGTTAATATTCTCACGATGTGTCCCGGTGTTGGTATCTCTGGGTCGCACACCACTCGCGTGCAGCTTTTCTCTTTTCAACAACAACAAAACAAGACAAAGCGCATAGCAACTGTCTCAACTGCAGCAAAGTTTGAGAATATATTGAGCAAGAAATCGCTTCTATTAGAATGTATAAAGGGAGGGACGGGCACGGGAGGCGGGGGTTTACAGAGCCACGAGAAGGAATCGAGGTTCCGTGCCTTCCAGCACCATCCAGACGCTCCGGGGCTACCCGTCTGCCCACACACCCGCCCATCCACCCACCCATCCACACGCCTGCCCACACACCCATCCACCCGCCCATCCACACGCCTGCCAACCCAACCCACTCGCCTGCCCACACACCCATCCACCCGCCCATCCACACGCCTGCCCACGCACCCATCCACCCGCCCATCCACACGCCTGCCAACCCAACCCACACCCATCCACCCGTCCATCCACACGCCTGCCCACCCACCCATCCACCCGCCCGCCCGCCTGCCCTCCTCCGCGGTCAGAACCGCCTCGCTCGAGTCCAGTAGCCCGTGGCTAAAAGCGGCGCACTCAATGCCACAGCAATTTAGCGCGGAGGAGCTGAGACAAGACGCTCCAGCGGTCCGGCTGGAAGGGTACTATCGACTTCTTCGCTTCTCGCGAGCGACAGGGAACAACGTGTAAATCAAGAAATAAACTGACACAGCGGAAAGGCCAGCGCTGTGCCAGCCTCGTGGTGATTTCAAAGCTTCCTGCGGCTGATTGCCGCGGGAAGCTTTCGTTTAACGTCGTGAGTGCCGATGGGGGTTGGGGGGTAGCACCATAATAATAATAGTAACGGCGACAACGACGATGGTGATGGACGAATGAGTGAACGGGAAATGTAAAGGGGCAGCCCTGCAATTGTTTAATCGCGGCACTGCCGGCGCAAGGGGGGGGGGGGTATTTGGCCTACTCTTCCGCGCACGGCCGGACGTCTTGGAAGACGTGGAAGTTACCCACTCTTTACCCCACCGCACATGAGCCGCCGAGCCGGGAGAGGGCATCGAACCGGTAACCCTCTGGATTGCAAGTTCGCGGTGGGTGCTGCTCACCGTTAGACCGCAGCAAAATCGCAATGAACAAGCAGGCAGATAATTTTAGATCGCTTCTCACATCCACGTCCCTTCGACAGCATCCATCGTAGATAACAATTCACAGTCCTTAATCAATCCGCTGCCGCTATGAGTGCCTCTGCCGCTCCACGTCAATCGTTGGGGGCTTTATTGACCATACTTCACCGCGCTAGTCAATGGGGGTTTGGCGACGAGGGCCACCCGAACATAACCCGCCACAGGCGTTAGCCGTGGCAGGGAGATGAATTCCTGTGTTCGTAAGCAGCAGTGCAGCGCTAACCACCGCGCCACCACTCCACGGTCCAGCAGACGTTGCGTGTTGGAAACGCGGTGGAAATGTGGACGCCTCCGCGAATCCAAGCCCGGCGCCCGTCGCGGCTCGAGGAGGGAGGACAAAACCCGCGGTTGTAACGAGCGAATCGGTGATGAACCCGGAGCGTGTAATTTCCCATTAGAGGTTGTACGCGTCTTGTGAGCTCCTCCGAACGCCAAGCCCAGCAGATGCCGTGTGCCGTTCACATTTTACGAATTTAGACGACGGGGAAACAGTGGCATGGATCGAGCCAACGGCGCTCAACCAAAATGTTCCAGCTGATGATGACGACGATGATAATGATGACGATGATGATGATGACGAAGATTACTCAAGGTTTTTTTCGGTAAAGTCACGTGACTTTACCGAAAAAAAACAATGAGTAATTTATGCAGTCACGAAAGCTTTAATTCTTTATTGATGACGAAGATGTTGATGACGACCACGATGATGACGATGTTGATGACAATGACGATGGTGATGACGACGACGACGATAATGATGTTGACAATGATTATGATGATGACGACGATGATGATGATGATAGATAGACAATGCGTGCACACGGAACTGCGACGCGGGAGTTCCGAATTTTGTATGTCGCCAGCTTCGAAAAGATAAAGGTTCAATATCTCATACTGCGGGGGGGGGGGGGGGGGGGGGTTGTCGTTATATGCTCGTTGAGAGCGTCAGCAGTCACCACGAGTCGTCGCGTTTCCCACGCACCTCTTACCCGCGCTCGAGTGGTTGACGGTGGCTACAAATATTTATTATCGATTTCCATTTTGCTTATATTTTTAGTAAATAATTGCAGCCAGTGCGGGGGATCAAAGCTGCTCATAGCTATTCGCCACTTCGTACCTATTTTACTATTTTTATTTTACTAATTAAGGCCCACTGAGCTAGTATAGCTATTTTTTTCAGAAGCGACCTGGCCACAAATAATAGCGCAAAGACGTGGCCTATGTGGGAACGTATCGCAGCCAAACACTCTAAACGCATGCTGATTCTAAATTCGGTGGGAGAAACTGGAGGACCCGGAGAAAAATCCACGTGACCACGAGCAGAGAGAAACACAAACTCCAAATATCGAGGCGTCAGGGTCTGGATCGAACCCACGACGTCCTGTATTCCAGGCGAGGTAGTTAACATCTCGCCACCGTGTCCCCCAGTGCAGTGGCAGGACCCTCCTGGAAAGAGTCCCGTGACTCAGTGCCGCTCTCCTGGATAAATAAAGAATTCACTTCTGGCGGAGGACAAATTTCAAGCCGGTCCATCATCTCATAGTCGTAACTTTTACAGCCACGTCTGCATTAACAATGTGCGTGTATTGTGAAATTCTTTCGCACCGTACGTAGCCAACCGCGCTAATCGGAGGTGCGGGAGAAAGGACAACAAAGTAAACACAAAAAAATCCGTCCTAAATAAATGAGTTTTCAATCGAGATGATTTAAAAGTGCACAGCTCCAGTGGCTTCCGAATATCGGAAGGAAGAGAACGTTCTAGACGGCCGCAGAAGCGCGTCTGAAAGCGCCGCGCGACGCTGCGACCGTCTTTGTTCGATGGCTTGCCAAAGGCTGCTGCTGCTGCGGCCTGCGAGGATGATCGGAGTTTGCGTGATGATGGTTTATGCTCCTTGACGAGATCAGCGAGGTCTTGTGGTTCATTTGTGGCAAGCACTTTGTGTGTCGTGAGTGAGACCCTATATCGTATTCGTTCAGCAACCGGAAGCCAATGCAGCTCAGCAAGCACTGGACGGACATGGTCGGATCTTGCAATACCCATAACGACACGTGGTAGTAGTAGTAGTAGTAATAATAGTGATTTAAAAGAAGGATGTAACAAAAAAGTTCTCAGTTGTCGCCTTTCATCCTTGAGGTTTCTTTTTGAAGGCACAAGGCAGAGAGTTAACCAGCGGCGCGAGGCCGTGTAAGAAATGAAGGCTGTGGCCTCGGCCACGTGGTTCGAACAAAACAACAGCTAAAAATCCCCTTCACGCATGCTTGGGATTTGAATTTGCTGTCTGCAGCCTCACTCCGACACAAATTGGCAGGTTTTAAGGGCAAGTCGGCGCAAATAGGTCACCCGCGAGCCCCAAAGCTGGTACGATGGTGTGAGAGAGTGTGTGAGTGTGTGTGTGTGCTCTCGTTTCTTTTTGTTTTGCGGTTTTATTGCTTATTTTATTTCTTTATTATTTTCTCTCTCTCTCTCGCTCGCCCTCAGTCTTGGCGGAACGGCTCCCATTGCTCCGAGCTGCTAATGCCGCCCGGTCGCTCCGCAGCACCAGCGACAGAGGAGGAGAGGCCGCCCGACCGCCCGCGAGTGGCGGCGATTCGCGATGAAGTTTTGGATGGCGATGCGCGATTAAGAGGTTGCGCTCGCTTTTGCGGGACAGACGGCGCTCGGTGACTTCGCTATCGCGTTGAACAAGGGAGGAACATTCGTGGTCAACCGTCTGTCGCTCGCCTCGCTGGCTCGCAGCTGGTGGTGGTGTTTTGGTTTTGTGTTTTGTCTGACGGAACGGCTGCGATTCATTTGCCGTCATTTGATCGTTTCTCACGACCTATGGCGAAGTGGTAACGTGGTGACGTGGTGCCGTGGTTACGTGCTAACGTGGTGAAGCGGTGACGTGGTGACACGCTGACGCGATGCCACGGTAACGTGGTGATCCAGTGACGTGGTAACACAGTGCTGTGATAATGTGGTGACACAGTGGCTTGGTGACGTGGTGACGTGGTTACGTGCTAACGTGGTGAAGCGGTGACGTGGTGACACGGTGACGCGATGCCACGGTAACGTGTGACATGGTGCTGTGGTAATGCGGTGACGTGGTCACGTGGTTGAAGAGGTCACGTGCCAACTGTGGTCACGCGGCAACGAGGTGACTTGGCGACGCGTCAACGTGGTGACACTGATATCGAGACGCGGTGACACCGTGCCACGGTTCCGGCGGCGACGTTGTCAACGAGGCGACGTTGCCAACACGCGGTGTGTTGGGGTCGACGCGGCCACGAGGCGCTCACCTTCTTGAGGCTGCCCCCGGCGGTGCCGGCGAACACCACGGTGTGGTTGCCGTGCACGTAGGAGATGACCGACGTCATGCCGTCGCCGGGCTCAGCCGCGAGGAGCGGGACCCCCTCGATGCGCGAGAGACCCCCCAGGGGCTGGTTCGTGTCCAGGCCACAGAAGTCCTCCTCGATCTTCACCGGCTGCGGATGACCGTGGTTGGTTGGTGGTGGTGGTTGTTGTTGTTGGTGGTGGTGGAGGCGGTGTCAAGAGATAGTGGTGGTGGTTATGGTACAAATGGTCGTGGTGGTTTTTGGGGTGAAGATGGTGCAAGTGGTGGTGGTTGGTGTTGGTGGTGGAGGCGGTGTCAGAGATAGTGGTGGTGTTAGAAGTTACGATGTTGGTGGTGAAATTGGTGGTGGAGGTGATGGAAAATGTTGTGGTGGTGGTGGCAGTGATGGTGATAATGATGTTGGCCATGTTGGTGGTAATGGTAGGGGTGGTAGTAATCGCGGTGGTGGTTGTGATGATCACGGTGGTGATGTTAGTGTTAGTGGTGGTATTTGTGGCGGTGGCAATGGTAGCAGTGGTAGGTAGTGGTGGTGGTATTGTTGTTGGCAGTGGTGATGTTGGTAGTGGAGATTGTGGTGACAAGGAACCAGGGAGCAGATTGGACAAGGGACATGGAGGATAAACTTGGAGCTACAGAGATGTATAAGCACATGATTATCTACACCGTGAGTGGTCAACATTAATCACCAGCCAAGCTGCCTTTTGGCTCGTAATAGAAGCGAAGTAATTCATTAATTCACGAAATATATTTTTTATTCGTTAAATTACACGTAAAGATAAATTAGTACAGCATGCTAGGTGGCGATTAATGTCTACGCATATTTAATTAACATTCGTTAATATATTCCTCCAGCTTTGAAAAATTCCTCTTTTCATTGCCTCGTAAATGGTAAACATTCTCCTGGTAGTGTACACAGTTTATTCATTTACACAGGGAAGCCTCACTGAGTTTCAGAATGATTTTTGTAATGAGGGTCCCGCTACATTGGGATGCTCGGCCAATTCCTTTCTCAAAAGAACGAGTGAAACCGGAGTACCTGGAGAAAATCCACCACACACACACAGGGAGATACACAATCACCAGTTAGACACCCACTTACTGTTAAGCCAAAACCTCGCGGCCCTGTGAAGGTTCACAAATCTTCTCGTGATCCACCAACTCCTCACCGCCACCACCAGCACCACCGGAGCGCGTGCCATAGTGGACCTCTAAGCTCCATTGTGCAACACACGGAGACCCAGCCCAGATAAGCTGCACCATTCCCTTGGACTCATCCCTCCCTCCACCCCTCCCCGTGTCATCAATTGAATCGACTGAATATAAAATAAAATAAACCGTCTCTTTACTTTACATTTTTTTATTTGTATTTACTACTTACCTTTCTTACGCTATTCGTTGCGCACGGCCGCACTTTATTTTGCGCGCGGTTGCAATTTACTTTGCTCGGTCGGTGTTAGCCGCTGAGGTCGTGACGGGTTTCTCTTTAATTCTCCTGTTGCTACGTGCCCGCCCCCCCCCCCCACACCGATGCACTACTTTATTGAGGGCGATATTGGAACCTAAAAAAATAGATCGATCGATCGATTGATTGATGCCCCCACCTGCCAACGTCTTACGACCAACGCTCAAGTCAGGGGAAATATTCATGGGAGCAGCTCGTGGCCTCGTTTTTCCATTTTAAATCACGTTTGTTCCCGCACAGTAGGCCCATTGGCTCAAAATGCAAAGCGGCCAGCAACAATCGTCACTCTTGATGTGTTCCTTGAATTGAGCAAGGCTATAAGAGATGGAAAGGGAGCCACCCCTGCTGCTCAGGTAACCCCATCCACTGCTCAGGTAGCCCCGCCCACTGCCCGGGTAACCCCGCCCACTATTCAGGTACGAGCCCCGCTAACTACTCAGGAAGTCCCGCCCACTACTCAGGTAGCCCCGCCCACTGCCCGGGAAAAACCCCGCCCACTATTCAGGTACGAGCCCCGCTAACTACTCAGGAAGTCCCGCCCACTACTCAGGTAGCCCCGCCCACCGCCCAGGTAACCCCGCCCACTATTCAGGTACTAGCCCCGCTAACTACTCAGGAAGTCCCGCCCACTACTCAGGTAGCCCCGCCCACTGCCCAGGTAGCTTCGCAATTTTTGCCCGAGTTGATCTTGAAGCCAAATGGGCAAATAATAATTCAAGTCTGTAAATGTCGAGGGTCCACAACAGAAATATTCGTAAATATTCGTACAGAATGGAAAACAAATACATTTAAATGTTTTGCATATGCAATTAGCATATTTTCGCGTTGTTAAATCGAGCCAGATGGGCATTAGACTGCTAGTATGGGTAAGATTATACTCGAGCATGTGTTTCCCCCACAATAATTAAGTAATTTGCGAGTCATTTTCATGAATTGGCAAATTGGGACCGTGTCCTTTACACTTTTCCTAATAACGCCACCGGGTCCATTAACATCCAGGAGAGAGGAGTAGAAGCAGTAAAACATCACGCGATCTCCGGTTATCCTCGCAGCGGCTTTTTGGCTACCCATCGGACACTGCATCGCGCTTTCAGATGCGTTTCTGCGGCCGTCTGGAACGCTCTTCCTTCCAATATTAGGAAGCCACTGGGAGCAAGGCACTTTTAAATCATCTCGATTGAAAACTCATTTATTCAGGACGGCTTTTTTGCGTTTACTTTGTTGTCCATCCCCCACACCTCCGATAAGCGCGGTTGGCCACAAATGGTGCGAAAGGAGTTCAACATACATACGTACAGCGGTAACACTGCTAAAACCATAAACTATTTAAAATATACACTTTTTTTATTTTACCAGGTAATGTCCACTGAGTTGTATAGTTCTTTTTCAGATGCGACCTGGCCACAAATTATGGTTGAATTAAGTGGCTTATCACGTGGAAATGTTTCGCAGCCAAATACTCTAAACGCGCTTTTCTAAATGTGGAGGGGAAAACCGGAGGACCCTGAGAAAAATCTACGCGACCACGGGGAGAAAAGCACACAAACTCCAAACACACAGGCGTCAGGGTCCGGATCGAACCCACGACCTCCTCCATACCAGTCGAGGCCGTTAATATCTCGCCACAGTGGCCGTAAAACGCCACCACAGCCACCACCACCACCACCTCCAGCGCGTGCCACGCGGCAAGACTTACCGCGTACCAGCAAGGTATGTCCTTCTTGATGTGCCAGCCCAGCTCGAGGCGACCCTGCCCCAGGTAGCAGTCCCGGATGCGCTCGCGGATCCTGCGGTTGACGTCGCGCAGCGGGAAGGCGCAGAGCGCCGTGTCGCCCGGCGGGCTCGCCCGGTCTCGCCGGTCACGCGAGAACACGGCGAGCGCCACGTCCTCGGTCACGGCGAGGCCCAGCGACGCCGCCAGCCCGGCCCCCGGCGGCGCGGTGAAGGCCGCCTCCAGCAAAGTGTACTCCACACCGTCTGCGCAGGCGGGGGGTGCAGGGGAGGGGAATCGTGGGGAGGGCAGCACGTGGTTGAGTGACGGTGGCAGCGGCGGTAAGTAGGGAGCAGCAGCAGCAGCGGCGGTAGTGGCAGCGAGAAGTCGCGGCAGCAAAAGTAGCAGGAGCATTCGCAGGGTCAGTAGTAGCAGTAGTGGCAGCAAGAGGTCGCGGCAGCAATAGTAGCGGCAGCAATGGTAGCAGCAATAGTATTACGAGCAGTAGCAGGGTCAGTAGTAGCAGTAGTAGGAGAAGTAGGAGTAGTGGCAGCAAGAAGTCGCGGCAGCAATAGTAGCAGCAGTAGTAGCACGAGCAGTAGCAGGGTCAGTAGTAGCAGTAGTAGGAGCAGTAGCAGTAGTAGCAGAAATAATCCGAGGCAGGAGGAGTAACAGCAGTAGTAGCAGCAGCAATAATAGCAGGAGCAGCAGCAGTAGTGGCAGCAAGAAGTCGTGGCGGCAGCAGCAGTAATAGGAGCAGTAGTAGCAGGATTCGTGGCAACAGTCGCTTCACACGTAGCAGCAAGTGATAGCAGCAGTAACAGTAAGAGCAGCAGCAGCAGTGACAGCAGTAGTGACAGCAGGAGTATCTGCAGTAGTAGCACCAGTAGTTGTAGCAGCAGCAGCAGCAATCGTATCACACATCGCACAGATGCTTAGCTAAGGAAGGAAAAAAAACATCCCAGGAGGTCCCGAGATGTCAGGAGGTCCAGCCCGCGTCTGCTTCTAATTTAAATAACAAGTGGCCGTTGCTTTAAAAAAAAAAAACGAATGTCTGTCTCCGACAAGAGATTGCATGGCCTCGTTAATACAGGATTTGCCGTTCCGTTAAATCGTGAGATCTTAATTGCAAGGCACAGTGAAAGCCTCGGAGAGCTGATGAGATCGGCACATTCCGAGTGAGACTCCTGCATTTAGTATTTTTGAACATCAGATGAAGGCGCAGCCCCTGCAATTGCTCGCTCTCGCCAATGTGCTTCTACTACAGAGGTCGTGGTGGGCAGAGGTCGGGGTGGGCAGAGGCCTCGGGTGGGTGGAGGGATGGATTCAAGAAAGTGGAGCCATTTCTTTAACTGCGTATTGGTGTGCCGAGACTAAATTATATATCTGACATGGGAGCATGTAATCGGGTAGAGCTGCCAGTCAGCTCGAGAACCAAAAGCAAGAATAATAAAAAAACGAATTCCCATCAAACCCAGGACACGGTGCAAAATCGCTATCCTGTGCCATCGAGTTCCATCTCTCTTCCAACGTCCCCCGCCCAAAGCTCCCCTTCCCTTCTCACTCCACCGACCACGGCACACCGCCACCGCGTCCTAAGGAGCTTCGTCTAACAACCTGTCCACCGCCCCACGAAGCGACACCGTCCTGGCCGAGCGGCGTTTTTCTCTGCAGCTGCACCGGCAGCAGCGCGTCTGGGACCCCCTCGCCCACTGCACGCACATGCAGCAGTAGCAGCAGCAGTAGCAGCTGCCACCGAGAAAATCCATCTTCAAGAAGTTGCTCCATGCTGTGACCCGCCAAGGCTCTCGCCCGTTCAGGCCCTCATCTCTCCAGGCTTGGGAGGGGGGCTTTAAAATCTGGCTCCGTGCGTCCGAGTCGTCGATCGTACATTGCGTCCGATTCGCGAAATATGCACGCATGCATTGTAAATCGCGTTTTAAACGATGGACCATATCGTAGACCACTGTGGTCTGTGCTCCTTCGACAGAGGAGGAGAAGGAGGAATAGCAAGAAGACGTGAACTCTCTCTGCTGAAGCCCTCTCGTCGTGGCCAACAGCAGCTGTGGCAGCGGGGCCTCGACATCGGCATTCATCTCGCTGCGCATAAACCGCCAAGGCTTTAAACTATTTAGTTTTATTTTAACAGCTATATATAGTTATTTTCAGAAGTGACCTGGCCACAAATTATAGCTCAGCGAAGTGGCTTATCACGTTGAAATTTATAGCAGCCAAAAACGCACGCTGAAGAAATATCCACGCGACCACGGGGAGAGAGAACACGAAAACTCCAAATATTTAGCAGGCGTCAGGGTCGAGATCAAACTCACGACCTCCTGCATACCAGGCCGAGGGAGAAAACCATATCGCTATCGCGGCGCTCCCTCTCACCATGTATCGCTGCCTTAATTCGCAACGAGCAAGGGATGGGAATTGTGAACGCAGCGGTGGCGGGGTGTTGTCTCCCTCACCTGTTCTGCGAGAGGTCGTAGTATCGACCCCGACCCTGACGCCTGTATATGTGGGGTTTGCGTGCCTCTCTCCCCTAGGTCGCGTGGATTTTCCTCTGGGTCCTCCGGTTTTCCCCTCCACATTTAGAATCAACATCACGCGTTTGGAGTATTTGGCTGCTATACATTTTTACGTGATAAGGCACTTCGCTGAGCTATCATTTGTGGGCAGGTCGCTATGTGGGCCTTACCTGGTAACATAAAAATAACGTTTTTTTTTTTTTTACGCAGAGTTACACAACCACATGCGATCCCAAAGACGCCTTCTTTGGCGTCCGATGATTCGACTTCGTCAGAAATGTCACCGTTGCATCAGCGACCGATCTCCTAGCGAGCGGGAGCTCGGCTCGATGGAGACGGCCGTGTCACTTCTCTGGACGCGTCGGCCCCCGTCTTTGATGCGCAAACTCCAGCAAAAAAAAACCCGGGCACTTCAGTCGGCGGTCGACGTTCGAAGGTGACCGCGACGCTCAAGCGATTGACACTGCAGCGTGGCAGCGAGAGCAGTTCACGCGAACGCTGTCGCAGCGACGTTACAAGTGTGGCCTCGGACTCACGCGTGGCGGACGAAATGAATTAATGAACGAACGAGGGAACGTTACCCTTGACGCAGGCGACGGGCAGCTCCACGTAGGAGTAGAAGTGAGTGTCGCCCTCGCACAGGCGCACGATCTTGGAGGCGAAGTGCGACCTCCGCTCGGCGTCGCTCGACAGCTTCCTCGTGTCGGGCTGCACCGTGAGGAAGTAGACGAAGCCGCCGCTCTGGAAGCCGTAGACGTAGTAGATGTCGAAGCCCGGGAATGACGACAGCGTGTCCGAGGGGATCTTGAGCTGCGACGACACGAACTCGTCGTGGTAGACGTAGCCGAACATGTCCGCGTCCTCCGCGTCCCTCTTGAGCGTGCGGCTCGACAGCGTCGGGAAGTAGTCCACCTTGCCACCCACGGGGGTGCCCACGAACAGCACGCTCTCGCCGCTCGACTCGTCCTGCCGCGGCCGCTGCTCCGACCCTTCCTGCTGCTGCTGCTGCTGCTGCGCGACCGTCGTCGATCCGACGTTTGACGCGTCCGACGGAAACGGCGGCCGCGGCGTCGCGCGCGTCAAATCGTCCTCCGATGCCGCCGCCGCCGCCGCCACCGCAGCCGCAGCCGCCGCGCGATCATCCGGCACCGCGCCACCACCGTCCTCGCCCACCGTCCGCCCCCTTCCTCCTCCTCCTCCCCCAGCAGCATCGCCGCCTCCGCCGCCGCCGCCGCCGCTGCCGCGCCGCGGCACGACGAAGCCGAACATCGAGGCGCTGTCGTTGACGCTCGACAGGTAATGCTCGGAGCGGTGCATGGGCTCGCCGAGCTTGAAGAGGTCGTCGGGCTTGAGCAGCTGGCACACGCCCTGGTAGACGCTGCCGCACGCCAGCAGTCGGTCGCCCGCGTAGTCGAGGAGCAGCAGCTTGTTGACGTTGTCGGTGGGCGCCGGCTCGCGCCTGCACGCCTCCACCATCGGCGGCGGGTAGCAGTCGCGGTTGTCGCGCGCGGGGCCCGTCTCGTGCGCGCGGCCCAGCCGCAGGTCGGCCGCCAGGCGGTACACGCGGTTCACGCCGCCCACGTACACGGCGCCCGTGCGCTCGTGCACCGCCAGGTGGTTCAGAGGCCACGCGGGGTTTTCCGACGGGAATCTGTCGGGCGCGAGGCGAGAGAGTCAGCGAGGCGCACGCGCGTGGGTCGGTCATGGGCCCTAGCCACTAGGCCGACTCAGCTTCAAATGAATGGCTGGTACGGTGCGTGGAAACATCGCCACTGGGGAGGCAAAGGCGGCCGGGCGTGAGTGTTCACCACCCACCCCCTCGTGTGCCGTGCCGGCCTTCATGGGTTCTCGCAAACAGCACTTGCCCCAACGGTCTGTTGAGGATATACGGGGGATCTTTGTCTTTGGTTTGTGTGAGTTGATCTTGGGGAGCCCCAGAACCAGTTCAGATAATCGTCACTGGTGTTGGTGGCTGTGAGCGGGAATCAAAATCGGGTCACAGCGCGCTAAGCGCGACTTAAATGTTGCTGCTGGGGGCTGCTGCGAGGTGGCCTCAAATGAGTACCAACAGCAGAGTGTAAACATCATTACCACTGGGGTGACAAAGGCGTCCGGGCGTGGTCCTGGCCAAACCACCCTACTCAGCCACCTTGTCGCCGCTCATAGCTGCTCGCTAAACAGAACTTGCCCCCAACAGCCTGTGTGGGCTACACGGGGAATCTTTGTCTTTGGGTAGACGCAAAAAAACAGGAACTCGAATCCTGGATCTCGGCTCTGCTGTGACCTCTGAGCCCCGCGGTCACTCTCCACTCACATTACGCGTTTGGAGACGCGCGCGTGAGAATTGTTTGCAATGTATGTTCATCGTATGCAAATGTTATGCATGTCACCTACCGGCTAATGAAGCACGCGAGACAGAACGAGATGGGGCACGTGGTGGGGTTTACGCAGACGAACGGGTGCAACGAAACGATAGACAAGGCGAAGTGATTTGAAGCTTTCGTGACTGCAGGAATTACTCTTTGGTTCTTTCGGTAAAGTCACGTAGAAAGAAAATAATAATAGAGTACGACGTTTCGATTGCAGCACAAGCAACCGTCATCAGGTAGAAATAAATTTGAGAGAGAGACAAAACACAGACACGGAGACACACAGACAGTGTTGTGTGTCTCTCTCTCTGTGTCTCTGTGTTGTCTCTCTCTGTGTATCTATGTTGTGTGTCTCTCTCTTTGTGTGTCTCTGTGTTGTCTTACTCTGTCTCTGTGTCTTTGTGTTGTGTGTCTATGTCGTGTGTGTCTCTCTCTCTGTGTCTCTGTATTGTCTCTCTGTGTGTGTCTAAGTTGTGTGTCTCTCTCTCTGTGTCTATGTTGTGTGTCGCTCTCTGTGTGTCTCTGTGTTGTCTCTCTCTGTGTCTCTGTGTTGTGTGTGTCTCTCTCTGTGTTTCTCTGTGTTGTCTCTCTCTTTCTGTGTCTATGTTGTGTGTCTCTCTCTGTGTCTCTGTGTTGTCTCTCTCTCTGTGTCTATGTTGTGTGTCTCTCTCTCTGTGTGTCTCTGTGTTGTCTCTCTCTGTGTGTCTATGTTGTGTGTCTCTCTCTGTGTGTCTATGTTGTGTGTCTCTCTCTGTGTGTCTCTGTGTTGTCTCTCTCTGTGTGTCTATGTTGTGTGTCTCTCTCTGTGTGTCTATGTTGTGTGTCTCTCTCTGTGTGTCTCTGTGTTGTCTCTCTCTGTGTGTCTATGTTGTGTGTCTCTCTCTCTGTGTCTCTGTGTTGTCTCTCTCTGTGTCTCTGTGTTGTGTGTCTCTCTCTGTGTCTCTGTGTTGTCTCTCTCTGTGTGTCTATGTTGTGTGTCTGTCTCTGTGTGTCTCTGTGTTGTCTCTCTCTGTGTCTCTATGTTGTGTGTCTCTCGCTCTGTGTGTCTCTGTGTTGTGTCTCTCTCTGTGTTTCTGTGTTGTGTGTCTCTCTCTGTGTGTCTCTGTGTTGTCTCTCTCTGTGTGTCTATGTTGTGTGTCTCTCTCTGTGTGTCTATGTTGTGTGTCTCTCTCTGTGTGTATCTGTGTTGTCTCTCTCTGTGTGTCTATGTTGTGTGTCTCTCTCTGTGTGTCTCTGTGTTGTCTCTCTCTGTGTATCTATGTTGTGTGTCTCTCTCTGTGTGTCTCTGTGTTTTCTCTCTCTGTGTGTCTATGTTGTGTCTCTCTCTGTGTCTCTGTGTTGTCTCTCTCTGTGTGTCTATGTTGTGTGTCTCTCTCTGTGTGTCTCTCTCTGCTTGTGTGTCTGTCTGTGTGTCTATGTTGTGTGTCTCTCTCTGTGTCTCTGTGTTGTCTCTCTCTGCTTGTGTGTCTGTCTGTGTGTCTATGTTGTGTGTCTCTCTCTCTGTGTGTCTCTGTGTTTTCTCTCTCTGTGTGTCTATGTTGTGTCTCTCTCTGTGTCTCTGTGTTGTCTCTCTCTGCTTGTGTGTCTGTCTGTGTGTCTATGTTGTGTCTCTCTCTCTGTGTCTCTGTGTTGTCTCTCTCTGCTTGTGTGTCTGTCTGTGTGTCTATGTTGTGTGTCTCTCTCTGTGTCTCTGTGTTGTCTCTCTCTGCTTGTGTGTCTGTCTGTGTGTCTATGTTGTGTGTCTCTCTCTGTGTCTCTGTGTTGTCTCTCTCTGCTTGTGTGTCTGTCTGTGTGTCTATGTTGTGTGTCTCTCTCTGTGTCTCTGTGTTGTCTCTCTCTGCTTGTGTGTCTGTCTGTGTGTCTATGTTGTGTGTCTCTCTCTGTGTGTCTCTGTGTTGTCTCTCTCTGTGTGTCTATGTTGTGTGTCTCTCTCTGTGTCTCTGTGTGTCTCTCTCTGCTTGTGTGTCTGTCTGTGTGTCTCCGTGTCTGTGTTTTCACTCTCTCTCTCAAATTTAGTTCTACCTGATGACGGTTGCTTGTGTTGCAATCGAAACGTCGTACTCTATTATTTAATTCATTTTATTTCTACGTGACTTTACTGAAAGAACCAAAGAGTCAGACGAAGTGATCATCGTATAGAACGGTGAACGTTACTCAGCATCACGGTGTGGACTGTCGCGCGATCACTTTTTTAACAAAATTTACCCCCCCCCCCCTTAATTCGATCTGGGTTAAAATGCCGCGGTGGGGGTTGGAGCGGTGGCGCAGCGGTTAGCGCGCTGCCCTTAGAACCCGGTGACCGAGTCTTGTTGCCGGCCACGGCAAAGCGAGTGATGTCAATGAGCCGCTCGTGAGCGACGCAGCGCAAGCCCTGACTCCACCAACGCGCGCTGGACCCACGTGGTGAAGTATGGTCAGACAAACCCCCGTGACCAACGCTGCGCGGTTGGATGGGGGGGGGGGGGGGGGGGGGGGCCTTCGTCCATTTCAGCGGATGAAACCGACGGTTGTACATTTCCCTATCATTGTTTGCATCGTCATCCATGTCAGCGGCCATGGTCCATCTACTGCCGGACCGAGGCCTCCCCACCAGCCTCCCCTAAAACAAACAAAATTCGATTGTTGATTCGACGCCTGCAAAACCGCGGGTCACGATCGCATCGTTGAATCGGCCGACCGAGAGGAGTCGCGAGATCGCTCCGCATCTCCGGCACACAATCACGCGCTCTAACGTTTCCACATTCCAGGGGGGAGGCGCAGACGACTCGTCACTGATCGTACGCGACGCCGTTGTGTTCGCGCGCGCACGGCTGCGCAGTGTCGGCTGCGTCGTCGACGTTTCAAAGCCCGGCGTTTCTCGCGAGCTTCCGCGCGCGCGCGCGCGCGCTTCACCGCGAGCAAAGTGAACGGTCTCCGCAGCGCGAGCGAGCGGGCGAGATTAGCAGATTTGTAAAAAAAAAAAGCGTGCTTTTTTGAGAAGTTGCGGAGTTTTAGCAGCGCGTGCTCCGACTTTTTATCGTCCGACGCTCTCTCGCTCTCCTCCCGCTCACTTCTCAAAGCGTCGCAATGTCTCTTGCCAATTCTCGCCCGGAGAGGCCGTGACAAACATTCCCATCTCGGTTTAGCGTTTCGTCCGTAATGACGCGTTTCTTCGAGTTGATGCACGTGCAGTTATTTCTGCACCGGTGGAGCTGTGATGTGTGTGGGCGATTTGAGAGATTCGCTTTGAAAAACGCGATAACAGAAAAAAAACGATGACTGATGATGATGATGATTGTGCTGGTAGTGGTGGTGGTGGGAGTGGTAGTGTAGCGCTTAGTTCACTGCACTACGAACTCGGCCACCCGAGTTCCATTCCCCGCTCATAGCCAACACGAGTAGCGATTATTTGAACCGTTCCTGGGCCTCCCCTCGGTCAACTCAGCCTCAAATTAGTGCCTGGTACGGTGTGTAAACAACGCCACTGGGGAGGCAAAGGCGGCCGGGCGTGGTGCTGGCCACCCACCCCCACGTGTGCTGTGCTGGGCCCCGCTCTTGTCCCAACGGCCTTTGAAGGCTACACGGGGGGGGATCTTTGTCTTTGGCGGTGGTGGCACGAACGCACCGTGCACGAGCGTCCACGCAACGCGGCGTTGCAATTTCGTGGCCTACGTCGCGGAGAGAGATAATCCATTCGGTGCGGCGGTGACGCTGCCTAGCGCCAGCACTGTTCATCGCTTGTCGTGCAGAGGTCCGCGGTTCTAATTCCACTCGGTGGGTGGGTGAGTGGCTGGGTGGGTGGGTGGCTGGGTGGCTCATTGGGTGGGTGGGTGGCTGTTTGGGTGTGCGGCTGGTTGGGTGGATGGGTGGCTGGGTGAGTGGGTGGGTGGCTGGTTGGGTGGGTGGGTGAGTGGCTGGTTGGGTGGGTGGGTGAGTGGCTGGTTGGGTGGGTGAGTGGCTGGTTGGGTGGGTGGGTGGCTGGTTGGGTGGGTGGCTGGTTGGGTGGATGGGTGGCTGGGTGAGTGGGTGGCTGGTTGGGTGGGTGGGTGAGTGGCTGGTTGGGTGGGTGAGTGGCTGGTTGGGTGGATGGGTGGCTGGTTGGGTGGGTGGCTGCTTGGGTGGGTGGCTGGTTGGGTGGTTGGGTGGCTGGTTGGGTGGGTGGGTGGGTGGCTGGTTGGGTGGGTGGGTGGCTGATTGGGTGGTTGGGTGGCTGGTTGGGTGGGTGGGTGGCTGGGTGGCTGGGTAGGGGTCTCTCACCTGTGAATGTGTCGCTCGGCGTGCACGCTCACGAGACAAGCGAGCACGGCGAGGGCCACTCCAGTCAGGCGTCCTCCGCTCACTGCCGTCTTTGTTGTCCATCGGTGACGCTGCTGCTGCTGCTGTTGTCGCGTTCTCCACCGCATCCTGGAGCAGCTGATGCTCCGCCTTGCTCCAGCTCTTCCTTTGCCTTGCCCTGCCGCGTCCGCCTTGCCCCAGCCACAACGCTGGGCGTGAGGTCAGGTGAGGTGTCCCTGTGGTTCAACCCTGATGGTGTCTGGGTAGATAGGACAGAGAGAGAGGGGCAGAGAGGCAGAGAGGGAAGGGTGTTGGGCGGGGTTTCGGTTAGGGTCGGTGGCACTTTGTCAATCCACTGCTGGATGAAAGGCTACCCCATGCCGTGCCGGTCATAGGTGTTGCTTGACCACACCTCGCCACACTGATCCGTGCGGGTTACTGAAGGGTGGGGAATACGCGGGTTCGGTTCGGATATCGCTCACCGCTGGTGTTACCCACGTCCCGAATTCTAATTCGGTCCGCCGGGTTCATAGGGCAGTGCTCTAACTACTGTGCCACCGCTCCACTCCCCCCCCCCCCCCCACATGAATTTAAGTGAAAGCAAAACCGATGCGTGATGATAAACTTGCAGCACAAATCACCCGTAATGCGCCCGGTCTCAAAAGCTAAGCAGCTCTTATGCATAAAAGAGGTTGTGTTGGGGTTAGATCGCGTCAACAGAAATGTGTTGTTTACCCACCACCACCCGACACAGCCAGCTAGTAAGGTTAGGTCCTTGGTGGCAACACAGCTCTATATTAAAGTTTCAATCATCTTGGATCATTCTTTACAAAGATTATTGTGACCCCCACGTTACAGGCACGGACAAACGGACAGACAGATGGACAGAGGTTAAAGTAAAGTTACATCCAATAAAATATATGGTTTACGGAGTGGTTTTCACACGGCCATGCCAACCTCGAGTCCGGCTTTTACATCTTTTGTGAGAGACAGAAGTGAGCCCTATGCATCGTCGCTGTGCCTTATTCTGGTTGGGTGAGCCTAAGGCAATGACCAATACTGAATCCTGCAAATCCTATAAAGGAACCGTAAAATTTCGATCCCTTTGTCAATCCACTGGCCCATTCACTCACTAGAGAGTAGAGATCAACGGAGACGTAGAGCCATCCGTAATAGGTGTGTAGGTGTGTGTATGTGTGTGTGTAGGTGCGTGTGTGTGTGTATATGTGTGTGGGGAGCGGTCGTGTAGTGGTTAGCGCACTGCGCTACGAACCCGGCGATCCGAGTTCGATTCCCGCTCACGACCACTAACACCAGTGACGATTATCTCAACCGGTCCTGGGCCTCCGCTAGGTCGACTCAGCATCAAATGAGCTTCCGGTGCGGTGCGTAAACATCGCCACTCGGAAAATAAAGGCGGCCGGGCGTGATGCTCGCCACCCACCTCCTCGTGTATCGTGCCGGACCTTCGTGCTCGCTGGCAGCACTTGTCGGCAAAAGCTACACGGGGGATCTTTGGGGGAACGGTGGCACAATGGTCAGCGCACTGCGCTGCGAACCCGGCGGGCAGGATTTGATACGCCCTCACGCTACACGTGTATCGGATCGTGGGAATTGTTTTGACCATACTTCACCACGCCGCTCAGTGTAAGGTTCAGAATAAAAGGCTAACCACTCCACTACCGATTTCAAATGTAGAAGAAGATGCAGCTACAAGCCCCGTGCATATGACACGAGCGCAAGAAGATAACGCTTGCGGATTATAGGGAGGGGGGCGGGAGGCAGGGTAAATAAATAATAATTGTAAGAATATAAGAATAGTAATTGTATTATAAATAAATACAAGGAATCGGATAAAGCTGCTGCGAACGAGAAAACGTGGTAGCGAGGAAGCAAAAAAAACCCAGAGCTCAGCTGATTAGGATTCAAGGAAGCACGGAGCGGCGGGGAAGAGAGCGCCGAACAATCCATCAGTGACACACGCACACACGCGTGCACACATACACACACGTGTGCGCACACACACGTAAGCACACACACACACGTGAACACGCACACACGTGTACACACACACGCACACACACGTGAACACACACATACGTGAACACACACACACGCGTGCACACGCACACACGTGTACACACACGCGTGCACACAAATACAGGCACGCATGTGTACTGTATGTATACACACAAGACAAACATCCCGCATATAGCCCTTAACAGACTGTTGGGACAAGTGCTGTTAGCGAGCACCTATGAAGGCCGGCACGGCACATGAGGGATTGCGTGGCCAGCACCACTCACGGCCGCCTTTGTCTCCCTAGTGGCGATGTTTCCACACCACCATCAGGACCATGTAGTCATTTGAGAATAAGTCGAGCTAGGGAAAAGCCCAGGACCGTTTAAGAGAATCGTCACCGGTGGCAGTGAGCGTGAATCTAATTCGGGGCACAGGGTTCGTAGCGCAGGGTGCTAACCGATGTGTGCATGTTGAACTTATTTCGCACCGCACGTAGCCAAACATACTAACCACCACAATACCGGTGTGTGTACAGAAACGGACATGAACATCGACCGTATGTGCGCACACACACGCGCGCTTGCACACACGTATGAATCGTATTCATCCTAAAAGTGCCTTATTCTGGCTGGGTGAGCCTCAGGCACTGACCAATACGAATCCTGCAAATCCTAAAAAAAAACGTAAAATCTAGATCCCGGTGAGAAGAGAGATCAATGGAGAACCATTGGGCAGAGGTGCATGTATGTGTGTACACGTGCCTTTGTATGCGGGGTGCGGTAGTGCAAATGTTAGTGCACTACGCTACGAACACGACCAGCCGAGTTCAATTCCCGCTCACGACCAACACCAGTTGCGATTATCTGAACCAGTCCTGGGTCTCCCCTGGGTCGACTCAGCCTCAAATGAATAGCCGGTGCGATGTGTGAACATCGCCACTGGGGAGACCAAGGCGGCCGGGCGTGGTGTTGGCCACCCATCACCACGTGTGTCCTGCCGGCCTTCATAGATGCTCGCTAACAGCACTTGCCCATACAAAATATTAAAGGCTATATGGGGGATCTTTGTTTTGTGTGTGGGGGGGGTGCTGTGCTTCTGCGCGACAAAATCGGTCATCTGAGTTCAATTCCTGGCCACAGCTAACAATAGCGTCGAGTGGTCTCTGAAGCTAAGGCCAGCACGCCGCATTTTGATGAGTCTGGAGTGTGTGTAACACGGTGAGTGTAGTGTGGTGTGTGTATTATGATGAGTGTGCTGTGTGTGTATTATGATGAGTGTGCTGTGTGTGTATTATGATGACTGTGCTGTGTGTATTATGATGAGTGTGGTGTGTCTATTATGATGATTGTGCTGTGTGTATTATGATGACTGTGCTGTGCGTATTATGATGAGTGTGGTGTGTGTATTATGATGAGTGTGGTGTGTGTATTATATGTTAGCGTGCTGGCCCTGTCGCTAATGTTTGTGACCTACACTGGACAATGTGTTCATTTGAGGCTGGGTCGACCTAGAGGAGACACAGGCTGTAGCTCTGAGCATCTACATCATCCACATGCAGCCCGTGGATAAACTGTGAAAGTGCTAATGACATTCACACGGGAAGTTGATGATGATGATGATGATTAAAGATGGCTATGATGATGATGATATTGATCATCGCGACATCAGTGATTTCGGTTCAGATGATAAGGATGATGATGATGAATTTCATCGTAACTTAATTTATGCTTGTGATGATACTAATGTTCACGTACGTGAAGTCTTATAATGAGAATGACATTGATAATTATTACCTCGACGGTGGGTTTATTGATTAATTCATTGATGTTGATTATTAAATTCATGATGATGATGATAATGTTGATGAGATTATGATCCCGACAGTAACAACAATGCTGCTGCTGATGATGATGATAATGACATCACCGATAGGGTTGCAGATTACAATACCGAGGACGATAATTTGGAACTGCGCCGAGTTCATTCATCATCATCATCTCACCCTTCCCGACGAGCGGAGGGCAGTAACCCACAGATACGGTTATACAGCGCACAGCGAGACACACACACACAGAGAGAGGCAAAGAGCGAGAAGACCAGGCGAGAGAGAGAGGGGAATATACAGATAGAGAGAGACCTAGGGCAAGAAGAACAGGCTACAGCGAGACGGAGAGAGATATAGAGAGAGTGGGATAGAATACCAGACGAGAGAATGAACGGGGAGAGCCAGGGAGATTAAGAAGAAGAAGCGAGAGAGAGATGGAGGGGAGGACGAAGAGAGGGGGCGAATCAGGACACACAACATACGCCGATCTTTTAACAGTCGGGGTGGCTTGGGGCGGTGAGAAGATGGGGGGAGCATTAAATCCCATCTTCAAGACTTCAAACTTTTAACGTGAGATGTGCGATGTGCACGCATACGCGAAGACAAAGATTCCCCGTGTAGCCTTAACAGCCTTTTGGGGCAAGTGCTGTGAGCGAACGCCTATGAAGGCCGGCACGGTACGCGAAAGGCTCGGTGACAGGCACCACGCCCGACCACCTTTGTCTCCCTACTGGCGATGTTTATAGACCCTACCAGGTATTAATTTGAGGCTGAGTCGACCTAAGGGAGGCCAACAACCGGTTCGGATAATCGTGACTGGTGTTGGCCCTGAGCGGGAATCGAACTCGGGATGCCCGGTTCGTAGCGCAACTCGATTAAATGCTACGCCACCGCTCCCCACACACACAGACAAATATCCCCCGTATAGCCTTAACATACTGTAGGGGCAAGTGCTGTTAGCGAGCACTTATGAAGGCCGGTACGGCACACAAAGGGGGTGGGTGACCAACACCACGCCCGACCGCTTTTGTCTCCCCAGTGGCGATGTTTTTACACACCGCACCAGGTACTCATTTGAGGATGAGTCGACCTAGGGGAGGCCCGGGACCGGTTCAGATAATCGTCACCTTTGTTGGCCGTGAGCGGAAATCGAACCCGGGTAGCCAGGTTCGTAGCGCAGCGCACTAACTGCTACACTACCGCTCCACACACACGTACGTACGTGTGCAGCCCTCCTGTCAATCAGCTCAGTGGCCCGCGATCACAAATCTCTATTTAACTCCATCAAAAAAGTAACCTGCAGCGCCACACCTATTACCATCATTAGGGGAAAAAACGGTGATCCAATCTCCGACCCCCAGGAACAGGTTTGCAGATTCGCTGAGCATTTCTGTGAGGTCCTGGGAGAGGGA